GCTCCCACTCCTCTCCCGGGTCTGGGGTCAGCGCCCCTTGGTCCGAGGGGCTAGGCCGGTGCTCCCGGGCTTGTTTGCTCTGCGATCCTGCAGCTCCCCGCCCTGTGACGGCAGCTGCGCTGGGAGACCGAGGTCGGGGGAGGGGTGGCGGCGATTTCTGGAAAACTGAAGCTGCCCGTGCATTGCCCGGGCGGACTCGGGAGGGGGCGGGGCCCCGCGCTGGCCTCCTAGTGAGGCTGACCGGGTGATTTGGGGACTTCGCTCCTGTTTGCCCTGTACCCCACTCTGGTACCCTTTGGGAACTGAGTGGCAGCTGCGGGAGGGTTCGCCTCACACCTCACTGCTGCTCAATCCATGCCCACCTCCTTACCCAGAGAAGTGGGTGGGAGGGCGAGTTTGAGAATGGTTTTTAAGACTCAGATCCCCCCCCCCTTTTGAGGAGCCCCCCGCCTCATGTCAGAAAAAGAATCCTTTTTTTCTACTAACTAACGTCTTTTACCTTGACTCTGCCCTAAAGCCTATTTCAATTTCGGTTTGGGGGGGGGGTGTGTGTGCCCATATGAATGACTCACCCCCATATGAGAGCTGGAGAGCTCAAACCCGCAGAATGGATTAAAATAGATTAGGCCTCTGGAGCCATGAACAACTCTGACCTACCTCTGTGTCTGCCAGATGTGTACATTCCAGGGGGGCAGGAAAACTGTCTGTTTTGTCCACTACTCTGTATCCAGGGCACACAGTAGGCACTCAATGATTGTTTGGCAACTAAATCTACTGATCTTTAAGACTGCAAGGTCTGGTGGGAATGCATACATTTTGAAATAGTCTGGACCTATCTCGGTGTGATCTTGAATAAGTTACTTAACCTCTCTGGATATTAATTGCTTCATCTCTAAAATAGAGATAACAATATCTACCTCACCTATAAAAGTTACCGTATGGGTTCTTTACCCCCTCCTAGAGTTTCAGGATTGGAGAAGAGTCTGGTTCTCATAAAATCCTGGAAGGCTCTCGATGGTTCTCCTGCATTATCTGGCCTGACTATTGTGCCCTAACATTTGTTCCTTTCCCTCTAATTGGCAAAGAAGTCGTTGAAGCCATCACCTTTCCAGCTGTGTGCGCGGAGCTCCATTGTGCCCTTGCTATGAAGTGGCCAAGAAAGAGTGTTTTTTTAGGCCAGGAGTATATCAGATCAGCACTTAAGCCCCAACTCTGTTCTCCCAAGGAAAAGAGAAATCTCAAATCTCAGCGATTATCCTCAGGAAACAAGCAGTCCAGTGACAGAGACGGATATGAACAGTATAAGCAAGAACAAAAAGTAGGCGTACCCAAACTGTGGCCAGAGGTGCTAGGATTGTTGGTGTGATTCAAATCTGGGGGTAGTCAGGGATGATAGGAAAGATTTTTGAGGAGACAATGATTCTTTTCTCAGTATTTGGAAGGCTGTCTGCAAACTCCAAGAATGATTCCTAAACAAATGCGAGACATGTCCAGAATATGTCACAGCTATGTTACATTACCTGACAAAGGTTGACCTGCTTTGAACTTCGTTCCCTTACCGTTTGAGTACTCAATTTTGAGAGAAATATCCTTTCTTCTCCTACCAGTAGAGACATTGGGGATAGTTGTAGGCAAGGCTGGCCTTTCGCAATGAACCTCTGGTATCCAAATTCTAGGGGCATCTGTAGGTCCTCCTAACCTAAAAGTCTGCCCTGCCAGCCTGCGTCAGATGCCCACAGGTTTCTGAGCTGTGACATTATGCTCTGTTTAATGCAAGCAGCCTTGGTAAATAATCTGGGAAGCTTTTTTTAAGAGTATAGAGTGCAATATAAGAATCAACCAATGCATACAGAAATAAATAAAATAACAAGTTGATATTTCTCTCCCTCAAATCAGTTTTAAAACATTTTTAGTTTAAAAAAAATTATCGCAATATAAGAATCAACCAATGCATACAGAAATAAATAGAATAACAAGTTGATATTTCTCTCCCTCTCTCAAATCAGTTTTAAAACATTTTTAGTTTTAAAAAAATTATAGTGCAAGATTGATCTGAACCCCTTTACCTAATTGCTAACCATGAGCAAATTCAAGCGAGAAGGAGCCCCCATCTCCTTCCTCCCTGTCCCCCAGGCTTTAGAAGCTCTACCACCCTTCTCACTGTACAGTCCTAAGTGAGGGACATGGGAGCCAGGGCAGCATCAGGACATTTCATGTCTGGTCCCAAAAGAATGGCAAACGCCAGCTCTGCCAGGAGTTTACTTTATCTGGGACATTTTACAGGGGGTTTGAGGTAATCTATTCCTTTAATTTCCAGGATTCGTATCTGTCTCCTGGCTGGCAGGTTCCCCCAGGACATCAAAAGTGCTTGGCTTAAATGTTGGGAGCACCTAGAACCTCATATATTACAGATGAGAGTGTAGATTGGTACAACCACTTTGTTGTGTGTGTATTTTTTAATATATTTTTATTGATATCAGAGAGGAAGGGAGAGGGAGAGAGAGATAGAAACATCAATGATGAGAGAGAATCACCAATAGTCTGCCTCCTGCACGCCCCCTACTGGGGATCGCACCCGCAACCTGGGCATGTGCCCTGACCGGAATGGATCCTTCAGTCTGGGATCGCACCCGCAACCTGGGCATGTGCCCTGACTGGAATGGATCCTTCAGTCTGCAGGCCAACACTCTATCCACTGAACCAAACCAGCTAGGGCATGGTGCAACCACTTTGGAAACAATTTGCCAAAAATCTAGTAAATCAGAAAGCAGGCATCAGAAATTCCTTGCCTAAAAATATAAATCCAAAGACATGTCCAGAATGTTCATAGCAGCACTATTCATAACAGCCCCAAACTGCAAACTACGTAAAGGCCACTCAATTGTGGTGTGTTCACACAATGGAAAATGATCTCACAGTCACACCGGGGAGCAAAAGAAACAGTCACAAAACACTATATACTGAGTGATTCCATCTAGTAAAAGTACAAAACCCCACAAAATTACTCTATGATGTTA